AATCGATATTCCATTGATCGGTCTTCTGTTTTGTATGTAGCTGATAATCAATGTGAATATCACAACAAGGCTGTCATAGACTTGATTGATTTCCCCTGATTTTGTGAAATGCGTCGTAAACTTCACTTTATGTTATCATCTGTTGGTATTACTTCGCCTCTGTTGATAAAGACTACACTTACTAGTACACCACGGTACACTAAGTGGTACACTGGAATGGCCCAGTTTCGTGAATAACGAAGGATTTTGCGTCACAGTTTCCATTATGGTAATTTTTTGGTTGAATAAGACTTCTAAGAGTCTTGAGGTAGTCGTGACAGCCAGTCATTAATTACTACTTTATAAATACGCAGTTATGTTGTTCCAGCAAGCATGGTAGTGACAGCTGGTATTGGTTTATCTTAAGTAGGCTCTTGTCTAGAAATTTTGAACTAATTCTCAGCTTGGAAGTTTCAACTGAGGGTTACAAAACTCTCCTATACGCCAGACAGTTCAGCACCCAGGAACTCCGTCGTGGTACATTGTAGTTCGACACCTGTAGCTGTACGGTGATGCGGGAATCCTTGGGATATGGGTGGGAAGATCGACATAGAAAGCGATGAAAACGATATAAAGTGGTAGGCTATACATGCATTCCCATCGCAAAGTAAATACAATATGGACGACTTACGTTGTACTTTTTCTGTTGTGGGAAAGTAATTGCTTACGTCACGAGTCATTGGTGAAGGTGAAAAACAAACACCGCACAAGTGCACAACTTCTGAAATTTGTTTTATCACGGGATTGATGTCATAAAATTTCATGGATTGACTCATGAAATAGCGTTATTGATCGATCAGGTCGTCTGCAGAGTAGTTATCATCCTATTGTATGGATGATTCTTTCAGTGTTCGATGGGCCGATAAATTGTATTGATAAAGGCGATGGTGGTGATCGTACGATCGTATCGTGTCGTATAGTAAGCGGCGTCGGAAATTCATGGCCATGTGAACGGACGGGCGCAGGCGGGGGGCGAACCGCTGCTCCGTGTTTGTTTAGCAGCCAAACACCACCGCCGCCGCGCCGTCGTCGTGGGGATCGTCGCACTAAGTCGTGCTGAAGACGATGTTCAGCACTTATCGGACGTCTGATCTGATGATACACCACAAAGCGCTGAACAAACGGCGACCAAAGCTCATACGATAGCAATCAATTCATAACGTCCTTAACATTTTTAGTGCTGAAGAAGAGTTCGTGGAATTTAATTCTAGAATTTCTGGACCAATAAACTCGTAGGAAGTTCTTAAACAAACTCAGTGACTTGAAGGACTTGTAATCTACCATACAACACGTAAAATAGTTGGAATATACGACTACTTTCACCGGATTAGTTGGTAGACATCAGAGACGTGTAGACGTTTAGTAATAGCGTTTTTGTTCTTACATGAAAGCACTAATTTTTCAAAAAATTTCTGACTCTCCTGACTAGTACTGCACGATAGATATCAAGTTATGGATAAATTAGCTATTTGGAAGCCTATCCTGGATCGCAGCAACAATCGTTTGAACTAGTGAACAGAGTAGAATAAGTATGTCAGATGAAGCAAGCAATATCTCCCAACTAAATTCGGAAATTTCCTTATGAACAAATATTTCAATGCAGAAACTCTCCGAATATTGTTCATTCGGGAAATGTTTTGCTAGTGAGGTCAACAGGAGCTCGTGTAGCCTAGTGGTAAGAGGCGCCATGCAATACACAAGGCATCGATCCACGCGCCCATGGCCCACCAAGCCTTCCATCCCTCCGGGGTTGCAAATTGGTGCAAGACTTATCTGGGAGGATAGCAGCACTGGATCGATACATCGGTGGGCCACAGCGAGTCATTATAAAAACCAGATATGCACTAAATCACCTCCAGCGATACTTAATGAAGTCTAATGCACGGGCATCCCTCAGGGATCGATCAACGCCGAGAGCTTTATCCTTTCTACTCTTTTAAAATTAGTTAACTTCTGAAGTTTAAAAGCATGACTCACTAAGGTAGAGTGGTCAGTGGAATTACTAGTACACTATTCCTCCCAAACCTAACTAACATCAGTAACTTTCTTTTAGTTCATATCTGAACAATTCCTTTTAAAGAAGTCACTCACACGTCTACGTGGCTTAGAGAACTTGGCTTTCAACTCTGATGACACTGTTAGGAAACATAACTTCTATAATGCTGAGATATTTGCAAAACTCCGGGCCGCAGGTGTCTGCGGTGGAGAACGAACGCGCTATTGTCCTTTCCGGGGAAGGAATCCTATAAATATAAAGTCCTATATAAGAAGCAATCCTATATAAAAAAGAAATCCCGTTGACAGGTGATTGCTGATGGCAAGTGATCGACAGAACTAGCTGAAAGGCAGGAGAAACGAAGGACCCGCATGATGTGGTGGTGAACGCGTTACTCCCCGGAAAGGACAATAGCGCGTTCGTTCCCCACCGCAGACACCTGCGGTCCGGAGTTTTGCCAATATCTCAGCTTCATTAATGTCAGGAAATAGTTTTTTTTTTATTAAGATAATTACAGATGCCTGTGTGAGTGGCTTGGACATTCCACTACCTTCTAATTCGCAAATCCATCTACTTTTCTTCAAATTTTCCTATAAATATACTCGGAAAGTCTTGGAAAACTCTGTTACCCACGTAATCTCTAGGAAATCCGTATTAAATGATTGACAAGTAATCTGATTTCAGATGCGCGATGATGATAGAAAACGTCCGCATTCTGGTCGGAATTCGGCATCGGCATGGCCAGCACAGGTTCCATCGTATACTACACCATACCGCGAAGGACGTCCTACTACCACTGCAGTACTGGGTCCAACTACTCCTGTTCAGAGTTATGAGTACGTTTCACAATTAGTTGTCTACTTAGAAAAAGACCATGGTAATCGCAAAATGATCTGAGATTTTTAGCTAAATCCGACTTCTATTTATCAGGATATTATACCTATTTGAATTTGAAATAACACGTAACGGGAATAAAATATGTGCGTTCAGTTTCTCTCCACAACCACCAATTGCACAATCCCCAGCCGTCAGCCAGCAACAGTTCCCCGTCCAACCGTCGTATTCGTCTCAGGTATTCGTGGCAGGGTCACAAGCATTTGTTCTTTCCGTGTAAACGTGCTATAGTCAACAGTTTTCATCCGCTTTCAAACCAATCACTTTAACTGACCTCGTTTCCCTTGAGCTTTCCTATCTTTTTATTTTCCACCGAATTTCTGGAGCGACCCACAGTAGAGTTAGATAAACGCCTTAGCTCAAGGATTTAAAAGCACAGTTACATAAAGCTGATGCCTCCTGTTTGATACTGTGCACTGACATCTCTTGGGATGCATATAAAAGCAACCAACACTAACAACCTAGCTAGTTAACAAGCTTCGTTAAAGAGTATCGAGGTAATTCGGAATTGTTCAGACACCACTGGTGACGCCAGCTCGAGTGGACGACTTTGGACCGAGCGGGCAATACCGTCCACTCCAACCGACCATCATCTACACTCAGGCTTGTTCTCTACTCTTAATTTCTTTTTTCTTATTTTTATTTTCTTATTTTTTCTTATTTTCTTATCTATATTTACTTAATTTCTTATTTTCTTCGTATTTCGATGTTAGATCGTGTAGAATTGAATTCATTCCTTCCAGGGTCCATCCAGCTATACACAAAGTACCCCAGTCGAATACACGATCCAATCAAGTCTACCCACATATCACCAATCGTCAGTCTAAAGATTCTACGCACATGTTTTCTAAAATCATCCCTTCATATTTGTATATATTACAATCATATGTTCCTCTATTTTTCGACTTTATGAAGTCGTCCTCTTCACTTTATGTGCTGCATTTCTATCTAGCCTTAAATAACTTCTTTCATGGTCTGCAATACTCCCAACCGATCTATCTAATTTGAACTCAAAGCTAAAGATCTATTTGTTAAAGCTGCTGTCTGATATCTAAACGTTCTAAAAGTCTTCTGCTGGACAAAAAAATTACCACAATGCTAAAAATACTTAGTGATACAGCAAAGCGATCAGTGGCTATACTCTACACTGGCGATACCTGGTCGTAAGTGTAGATATGCTTGCGCTACAAATTATTCTCTCATAACACTCTAACTCAAAAACTACTTATTTAATTCTAATCATGACCATTCAATACTATCATCTGATGCTTCTGCTCGTGACATTGGACGATAAGCTATGATTTCATTTAAGATTTCCTATTTTATATCAGCCTTAACGTGGACTTTTTGTCGATATTCTGTGAGATGATCTCGAACAAAGCCTTTCCGAATAGAAGTTATCCTGCAATACTTACTTTGTCCCATATGTTTTAAATCTTTGGCAGCAGAATTTTCCCAGTTCTCTAAACGCCGGCCAAGCTAAGCATAGGTAATGATCTAAGACTTCTATCGATACCCAATTTGAACAAAACTTTATGGGACCAGTAATACTGTTATCATACACCTATTGGAACTACTGTTTACTGAAATTTAAGAATTCTATGAGATACACTTTAGACTGGAGGAAAGTTCTTATACTACTTTTTACTTAATGAGATTTGCTCACATACTCAGTTCTCAGATTGTTCTTTTGTGTTTCCTTTATGTGCATAAATGTTGTTCATTCTTACGTACCGTATAAGCTTCTTCACAACTGAGCAATACTGCAGTAGATGTTTTGTCCCACATGTGCCTCATCTGTGACATCACGTTTAAAGCACGGAAAAACATTAAAGTGGTTATTAATGAATCGGGAAGTATTCAAAGCAAATCAATAAACACTTAGTAAAGAGAAGTTATAGTCGAATAGAAGAAAAAAGATCTCCAAGAACTGTAAACTTTAGCGAAATCCGATTCTTCTACTGATATGGCAATGATAAGGCCGATTGGTGCTGATCATCACGAACCATGAGAAGTGCGGTTCATTCACTTCTAGTATACCGTCTACTACACAAATCATACAGAAAATAAAATGCCTGAAGGAGGAGGTAAGTCCTCTAGTTTTTCCTTTCGATGGTTTTCTATGTATGAAAAAGGACCGGCAGAGGATTACTTAAATAGATTTTTCGAAGGCCAATACCATGGGCGCGTGTAGCGCAGTGGTCGGAGGTCCCCTGCAATACACAAGCGATCGATCCCAGTGCCACAGGGTCACCAAGTCCTCCATACCTCTGGGGCTGGCGGATTAGTACCAGACTTGTCTGGGAGGATGGTAGCACTGGCACGATGCATCGGCATGCCACCGGAAGTCGTTGTAAAGGCCAGATATGCATTCAATCACCTTCAACGATGCCTAATTAAGTCAAATGCATGGCGCATCCCTCAGAGATTGACCAACACCCAGAGCTTCATTCTTTTTTAAGATGAATATGAATCGAAGTACATAGATCGTGAAATGGATCGATGTCTAGCAAAACCTTTGACAGCCTGTTTAGCATTGTGGAATATTTTGGAAATTATGTGCAAAGATGTTCGGAATCTCATGGAGAAAAATCAATAGACACCAATAGTTTAAGGTTTCAATTTTCGTCGTAAATTCTTATTCAAAATCCATGAAAAAGTGGGAAATGTGGAAGAAACGCAAATGACTGCAGAATTCAACAATGTAAGTCTTCCAAATGATACGAAGGATATAATTTCGAGATACAAATTCGTTAAAGCTCATCATATCATATGTTATTTCGAACCAAAGGCCAGAGAAGATCCATGTAGTTTTAAAAAAAAGATAAAAACACAGCAAAAAAGAAATGAGTGCATCCTCTTCTTCTCTTACCACTTCTCTCTTCTTTAGCTCACAGCTAACAAATAGAGTTATTGGTTTTTTTCTTTGGTTCTGTCAATACAACCATCACTATGCAAGGACACTTCAAAATATTGCTGAGAAGAATTGATACCCGCTAAGTATCATTAACATAGACGAAAATTACTCTTTTATGATATATACTTGGATATTTAGATGACCCATCTTCACTTGTGCAGACCGCAGCATAATTTCCATTTTGTGGGACATTTACTGGTTTAGCCATTGTGGTCCCCTGGAACTCCGAGTTCAGTTTAGGCGAAGCCTTCTTCGAGTCGTCACCACACCAGGCAGTCGCCGCTTTTGTGGATCAGGAGCTTTGTCACCATGCGGCTAGTTTGATACCAGGATGATGGTGATTGCTGGTATTGGTTTACTCTTGGCTGGGCTTCTGGATGGAAACGTCGAACTCCTCAGCTTGGGAGGCCCTGCTGGAGGATGAGCGCTATGCTGTACACCCAGCAGGACAACCAGGAACACCTCCCATGAGGCGTTAAAGCGTTGGAGGTTGTTCTACGATGATTGACAAAACAGGGAAATCCTTGTAAAGCTTTGTTCACGAAGGTCTGAAGTTTTAAATTGTCTATTAAATTATAGAGCAATACGTATACAAATTGCAGAATCACAAATTATTAAAAAATTATAAAGTTATGAATTAGAGGCCATAAATCGCTGTGAAAATTATATAAGAAAATCACGAAGAAAAAATGCGTGTACATATTCAGGACGTGCAAAAATACGACATCTACCGTGATTCAGTCGTCAAACTTGTCGAACTGCTAGAAGCCGTTAATCAACCGAATCCAGCTGTTCTTGCCACCGGGGTCAGCTCACCTTGCCGTGACCTAACGCTATCATAAAAACAAAATCGGCTTAGAAGAACAACAATATTAATGCTTGCTTTTTATTTACTGTCTATTATTATTTTTAACGGCAGAGTATGATGTGAAATCCAACCACTATGATGCTGAGATAAGGGCACGTGTGGCGCAGTGGTGGGAGACGCCCTGCAGCACACACATGAAATCGATCCCCACACCCATGGCCCACCAAGCCGTCGATCCCTCCGGGGTCGGCAAATTGGTACCTAATTTGTCTGGGAGGATAGCAGCACTGGCTCGATACATCGGTAGGCCACCGCGAGTCATTGTAGAGGCAACATATGTATTCAATCACCTCGGAACGATACTTAATGAAGTCGAATATATGGTGCAGTCCTCAGGGATTGACTAAAGCAGATAGCTTTTTTTTATGATGCTGAAATATTTACAAAACTACGACCCTAGGCCAGATCGAATTTCGAGTACCCTTTCCGAAGGCTTACGTATTACGCAAAGCACCACTGAGGTCCTTGCTTTGCCATTCTATCACAATCAATCTGTGATCTAAACCAACCAATAATCTATAATATCATTAATATTTGGTGATAGGACCTGAAAACATTTAATTCCCAGTAGCTCAATTTTTCTCCGTAGATTGGTTGCACTCTTCTAACCTTATTGACAGTTGACCTCTATTATCTATAATTCTCTTAACCATCGTCTGGCTCATACCAGTAAAATCTCAATCCGTACATTCGTACTCAATACACATATGACATATGACCTGTTTTTCTCATCTTGAGCGAAAACAGTTCTCTTCCAAATTGTGGGGAATCTACGCTACAGAGTAAGAAACAATCTCCATTAGATATCACGGACATGTTGTTCCAGTCTCATGTCAAAGACTTTTGACGCCCCTTCATCATAATAGAAGTCGAGATCCCCTGGCTAAACTTTTTTTGGATTAACAGAGAGCTCGGTTGTAATTTCGAAATAGTACTATGCCTTGGTCATCATGGGATATCATTTTTCGAGTTTGTCGATGAGGAAAAAATTCGCTGCTTTGTCAAAGGGTTCTTCCAGGGCAGCAGCATATACTGGCGTAATCGCACCTAATCCACCAGTAACTTCCATAGCTTACGTGGATTTCATAGGCGTATTTGTTTCTAGACCAATGAAATATTGCAACCGTTGAAATCTGTACGGCAGATTGTCGACAAACCTATGACTTGTTCGCCGTATTACTTGATACTTGAACGACCCGTCTTCACTAGTTGTGCAGGCTACAGCATAATCACCATTTTCGGAGATTTGCTGGTTAAGCCATTGTGGTTCCCTGGAATCCCGAGGGCAGTCTGGTCAAATTCTACCGCAGTTCGCTATATTAATTAAACTAATTAGTACAAACGATCTCATCGGTGATAAAGGACCGAAGAGATAACAATCTAAGGAAAATGATGTAGACCAAAGAATTGAAACTGAAACGCGATATTTCAGCGAGTTGAGTGCCCTAAAGATGAAGATCCCTACGATAAGTTGAGAAAAGCGCTGGAAACATTCCAGGTCAGCAGCTATTCTGTTTATTCCAATATTCAAGCACATGCTATTGAAACAAACGACCTGTTCGGCCACTAATCCACGTCCGTAAGGTTCCACTTTTGTAGTTGTAATGAGTCACCTACAAGGAGACATTTTGGAAAAGACATTAGTGTTCTACTAGAGATTTTCAGCAATTTCTACAAGAAGACAAAGCTGGTCAAGTGGCAAAAATCTGCAGAACATTAGAGCAAGCGGCGAAAACCAAACGCGATTATCAGGTAAACTTTTACAGTAGAAACTAGGAGGAAACCTCGTCGAAGTGCGGAATTAGTGGGATGGAATAGATGAACGTCACCTATCAACAATGACAAAGACTGTTGCCTAGACATTGTCAACATTTCCAGGCCATAGGTACAGGCATTGTGGGCTCAATATTACATCACGCACACGATTATTATTTCTATACTTTTACATCCACCAATTGCAGTGACCTTGAAACCGTGTCCGCAATCGCAGGCAATCCCTAACACTCATTTGTCGGCTATTGTCACGAAAAAAGATCTTTTTAGATCAAAAGGCGTGCATGTATTCGACATCTACGTCGTTTTGATTCACTTGAATACAAACTGCTCTTGGAAAATCGCGAGAACTTCAACCAGTAAGTGATTACGTGTCTATTATAAGGCACATCAACCCACTATGTTAAACTCGTTCTTTTTTCTGTATGAAACAATAAAGCAAATAGAATGAGGTTTGGTCGCCATGAAGTATATGTGCATTAATTTCCGCTTCGGACTTCAGTACCTATACTTGATGAGTTAACAGATTCTTTCCAGAGCAAAAGCAAATATGGATTTGGCAAAACATGAGGTAAAACAGGCGAAGACGACGGAGCAGATTGAACGAAGAGCAGTGCTTTACCAACAACAAGTCGAAGTATTCGACGAAAAATGCAATAAGGTGAGTTTATGTCTCTAATTATTTTTGTTAATTGCATGTAATTCGAATAAGCATTCGACCATTACTCATTCGCTTTCGAATATCTTCGAATATAATACTTGTGCGATAGCCATTGTTAGAGTTTGTATTAAATTGTTTCAGTTTATCAAATTACTAGAAGAACTGCCAACTATCAAATCCTTGCATTCTAAAGATCTTACTGACTTAGTGCAATGCAGTCGAGAATATCACCAAGCAATGAGTGGAGTTTTCAAATAAATGTTGTAAGCTCTTTATAAAATCGATTCAGATGATTCAAACGATCCAGAAAAACTGCTTTGAAAACAGAGAGCGGTACAACATGAAAGATGATACTAGGGAAAAAAAAACACGTAATTAATGGAAAGGACAATGTTTCACAAGTCAGAGAGATCAGTTTGACCGAAGTAGTCGCCAACTATGGCGATAAACCATGATAGTTCACGGATCTCGTTCTCCCTAAAACTATCATTATTTCGTAACGCTGCGAATAAATCGTTGTAGGAAAGCCGTTTCGTTCCACTACCAGCGCTATTTACATATTAATAAACATGAAATATTTTTAAATAATTTCAAACAAGGAACGAAACTCATATACATCTCATCAATTCAAAATTCACTGGAGTAACTTGCCTTTCGGGTTTCATGCCTTGATAACTTTTCCTACCTACGCGTGCATAATAAGCAAATTCACTCCTAATCTTATTTTATCGATAAAGCCGTGTAGGATGACGAGTCACTTTCGATTACAAGTCTGCCCGACAATAGTCAAAACATTTCCTTCGCGATTAACACCCAGAATCAAATAGCTCGAATTTATCAAAACCCTCTTAGGATACGGAACGGAAAACAGCAAAGCGAGCTCTTCATGTACATCCTGAATTGAGATCTGTTAACAACTTCGTAACCATGCTAAATTTCTCTCCTAGTATGTGCCGAATTGAAATCGGCTAATATAGGCCACCGAACCGTCAAGAAAATGAAGCCGCCACTTCATTTATACTAATCACTCCCCAACTATTTCGGCGTCCTTCGAAACCTACATTGGAAGAACATATCCTTCGTATCATCCAAGTTCTATGTATCGTATAATATTTTTAGAACTTGTTCAATTCCTTGCGCGACGAAAAAACTCGTCCATAGTCCAACCACTGCGCTGTCAGCCTATGGTAGTCGGTTGATTCGACGACATATATTAAACATATTTCGAAATTTTTTCAAAGACTTCTTTTACATCCACCTAATGCATGCCATGACTATGATTAATAGCGATTAAAAAGAAAGAGTGCTCAACTACTGGTCAGAAAATGAATTTTGATTGCTTGGAACTGAAGGTAAAAAACGAATGGAACGTTACTTTCAATCGTCTACTCATCGATCACGAACAAGAAGACACCTAAGACTACAAGAATAATGAGGAACGCTTCTCTGAATAGTCTGAAAAAGTAAGCAGAGACCGAAGTAACGAATGCAATAATCACGTCGATGAAGGTCAACAATGAGTAGGAAACCACGTGGTGCCTTCCGACCCATGGATCCACGATCACAAACAATTTGTAGTGGACCTGCAGGCTACGGTTTAAGTTCAGGAACTTTTATAAGGCAATGCAGAACAACACTTGCGACGGATTACTTTTGAGAAATGGAAACCCTTAAGCGAACGAGAAGACTCGTCGATTTCTGCTTGCAAGTGAGAATTATTAGCTTGCCACGGCTCAGTGATTACTGGAATCCTAATCCTGCTTTTGGAAGTCATCCACTTGCGTTTCAAACCAGATTAATGAATAGATCTGACAAGCTATCACGTATATCAGACCGAGAAAACGAGACACTGGAGACACTTTGCATGAGATCGGATCCCTTATCGAACTTCTCAACAGAGACTGCGTGGAATTCTATAAGTACGCCAAAAAAGTGTTTATCATTCATGCTCTTTTAAACAAAGAGTTACATTCCGCTAGTATATCCCATACAAAAAGCCGAAATATAGATTAAAATTATTCAAAGTATGCAGAAGAAGGTAGTAACACATATAACGTTACAGCGCAAACAGAGAAAAAAAAAGTAGGACTACGAAGGTGACGACGCCGACTTATCCTGGGTCATAGAAGAAACTTGTCCACCAATAACTGACATAAAAATGTCTTCTTTACCGTGAGACTGCTGAAGAGGAAAACTTATCCTGTCGCATGGAGGTAGAACAGCAGACGCTCCTCAGGCAAGTCGTCCATGAAAAACAGAGGAGAAGATATTTCAACCTTTTTATACACTGCCTATTCTTTTTTAATGGCAGGGTATATCGAGAAATATAACCTATATGATGCTGAGATATTTGCAAAACTCCGGACCGCAGGTGTATGCGGTGAGAAACGAACGCACTATTGTCCTTTCCGGTGAGTAACGCGTTCACCACCACACCATGCGGGTCCTTCGTTTTGTCTGTCTCAGCTAGAAGGACCCGTATGGTATGGTGGTGAACGCGTTACTCGCCGGAAAGGACAATAGTGCGTTCGTTCCACACCGCAGACACCTGTGATCCGGAGTTTTGCAAATATCTCAGCATCATATAGGTTATATTTCTCAACATACCCTGCCATTAAAAAAGAATAGGCAGTAAATAAAAGGTTGATTGTGATTATAACTCAGTCTCAACTTAACTGGGTTCAATGCCGATTTGGGCTCCCCAGATAAATCCCGTTGACGGATGACTGCTGATGGCAAGTGATCGATAGAACTAGCTGAGAGGCAGGCCAAACGAAGGATTCGCATGGTGTGGTGGTGCACGCGTTGTTACTACCCGGAAAGGACAATAGCGCGTTTGTTCCCCACCGCAGACACCTATGGTCCGGATTTTTGCAAATATCTCAGCATTACATAGAGGAGAAGATAGTTGGAAGCCCATGACTCGCAAAACTGGAAAAGAAGACGAGCAGATGGATGAGCTGTACTGAAAATTCAGCTAATCTGGCTTACTACGATGTACCATAACCTTCAATACCTCTTCAGCTGCACGATAGTACATAACTGTAACCTTAACAAGATATTTATCATGAATTTTGCTATAATTTGGAAAACTTTAAAAGTTAGCCTTACCGTTCAATATCCAACGAATTCCTTAATGTTTTACATAGGTTTGCTAGTCCTCTAAGAGCTGCACATACATCAGGAAGCAATGGCTTTTCAACAATTAACAACAGAGCAAAAATCCATTCACGTAGTTCTCGATTGAACCCATCACATTCCGCCCACTCGACAACATAAGGAATCAATCCATTTACCTAAATGATGCGTTGTTAACGTCGATATAAGAATAAGTTAAAATATTATCTAATCTTTCTTGCCTAAGTATTCAATTTTTTCTGCAAGAGCAATAGCAAACATCCATAAAGGCACTAGAAATAGTTCAAATCCATTTTTTGATATGTAAAAGAAATTAGTAGCCACAAAGAGAAGGTACGAAATTTGTGCCGGTCAAAACCAGAGGGTAATATAAGGACAAATATATCTTTACAAAACGATGGATAAGTTTCTTAAGTCCTGAAGATGTCGACCGCAGTATGTTTTAAAAACTCATCGCTATAGAGTATTGAAGAAATATTACGCATGTAATGAACTTGAAATAAAAGCTGAGTTTGAATTAAAGTACAACATTGCACTAAGAAACCTAAGATGATGGTAAACTAACCACATTAGAATATTTCACAATCTCTACATGTAGAATCAAGAAAAAAAACTTGCCTTTTTGGAAGGAAGACTAAGAACAATAGGAACGGCTGGTGGTGTACCTCGGTGACTAGGAAAGGACGGCGCGAATTGGACACATTTCCGATGACACTGTCGCAGCAATAACTCTTCCCATTTCTCTGCATCCGACTGGAATTAAGAAATGAAGCAACTTAAACATAAATTCGACTTCGCAAAAAAGAAAATACGAAAAAGAATCACTGGAATCTGAGGACAACTGATTCACAACTCTTTTAACGTTGAAAAATTCGCACATATCTATAATTCCAATAAGCATTAAAGACATGAACGGTTTATCGCCTCAATGCGACAAAGGTGTACTTCTGCATATCAAACTGCAACGTAGAGCCTAGAAACTAAGTTTTTTTGTTACTGTTACATCACATAAGCCACATTTGAATCTACTGCGCTAATCCCAGCATTTCTTGCATTCCATACATTTCTCTTCGCCTGTCATCCACGAAGGCCCTCGAATATTTCATGTCTGGGTGACTGAGGATTATTAGCTTCCCACGAATGTCGTTGAATGCTGGTTGAGTCTATTCTTCCTCGTGCTTTGAGAAACCGTATTATAGCATTCCTGTGTAGATTTCAGAAAGTGAATTGGACCCAGGAAGGTCTGGTACCAATATTCTAGCCCCAAAGGTTAAATCACATCGTGTTCGCGATAAATGACACTATCACTGTGCTATCCGTCTCTTATTTCCATATTCCAGCTCCAAAAAAAGTTAGAGCTGAAGATAAGCCTATGACACGGCAGAACTCGCCAATTAACCCGCACCAACTTTCTCGCCAAAGATAGTGAAAATAAGGAGCTATATGGTAAAAATATGACTTTTCGTACCTTCCTTAATTACTCGCCAATTTCCCTCTTCCATTATTTCCCAAAAACATGGACTATGGGCAACATACGATGGCAAAGACACCATATCGGGAGTACAAAGAACTATGGGCATCGATACGAATCATCGGCTCTGAGGAAGACGATGACGTTGAGTCGTTAGCCGAATAGATAACTGGCAACAACCTCGTGCTAGCCTGTCAATGAAACAAGGTACGTAAACTGTGGTCGTCTTAGAAAATGAACTGATATGTCCGTTGCACTTGAATAACAAGTGCATTCACAGTTGGAATCAACTACCAAGTTCTCAAACAGTAGCTTAACCAACACGCGAGCACGATCACTTCCATGAATGACACATGCGTGACAGTGGGCAGAAATGAATGAAGGGTTGTTGGAATAGTTACGACATGCGAAGATGAGTAATCTAAGTAAGTACTGCTTCCCTATAACAGCTCATTTAGTTATTAATGCTACAAAAACGTCTTCCATGTATGTGCCATGAATTTAAGAGCGTTAGTCTACGAAATCAAAAGGAAATATAAGACGGTCAATTATTAGGGGCAACATGTAATGCACAACAACAGAAACTGACCACACTTGGCCAATGCAATTTCAACGCCTGACTCCGTGGTACTCTTTCCATTTTTGAGCGCTGCAACGAAAATTCGGCAACTTTTGCTCGACACCATTCCCTTGGCGGGGCACGGGGATCTCGTACAGCCACGCTAGTTGAAGTTGTATCTGTTTTAAGAGCAGAAGCCGAGATAAGAGGTTGATTCACCGATATGCACGATGGGGTACGAACACGAGCCGCAATTACCTGAAACGTAAAACAATAATAAAATGAGAAGAAACAACACTAGCATCTAGTTTTCGAGCGTTTATAGCCTTTCTTTCCACTGTTAACACATGCTCTAGTCGAGTGGCATTTACCTAAAAAGTAGATGGGCTTACTAAATGTACTACAAAACGTCCATTACTTGAAAAAAAGCAGGTTATTCATTTTGCCTTCCGAGGAACAGGAAAACCCAAATTCCCAAACCTGGTGTCCTTCCAAAACCATCCAAACATGCTAATGTTTCCACACTTTACACCATGACTTAAGAAAAAGTTCAACACAATTCATAGATTGACAAGAGCAAATGAGGTGCAAACCTGTTGTAGGTAGTGTTCAGCGGACAACGGTGGAGTATTCAAGTCGACACCATCGATATCAAACTCGCCTATATTGATGAATGGCCCGGGATCCATCTAAATAGTGGAAATCGCGAATGACAGGCTATTTGTTTAGAACCACATTCATGGATATTACGGAAACTATAACACGAAAATTAAGATATGAACGCTTTAATCACGTTGTAATACTTAACAGACAATTTCATATAATTCTCTTTACTGCTGTGATTAGTACGAGACTAGTGAAGTGAAATAGGTGATGCTTAAGTAAACATATAAACATTACAATATACCTACTGGACAAATACATTACCACGTTTAGTGCTACAAATGCGAACGACCGGCAACACAGACACGAAGAAGTGCATTGTAAACTTGCGTGGTACGATATCACAGCTCTTCATGAGTATAGTTGATACCAGCAGCTGTTCGACCAGCAATTCTTCCAAACACTACGCATTCAAGTAGAGAATTTCCTGCGAGACGGTTAGCGCCGTGCACACCGCCTGAAACATACTGACTACATTCGTTGCAGCTGTGATACGCGTAAAGAATGAATAAATTTTCGCAGATTATGCAGCATCTAGTACCAAAATAATAAAAAATTCATAGAAATTAAACAAAACCAGGATTGAACGTACCAGTCACTTCTCCGGCGGCCAGAAGACCTTGAAATGGTTTAGAAACAAACTCGTTGTAAACACGAGCCTGTATTAAGCTAATATGAATCACACAGCACGAGAAAATAAAAAGTGCCAATTTACAACATTAATTTCTTATTTGCTGCCTACTACAGTTTTCCTCGGCAGAGTATTATCTCGATGATGCTGAGATATTTGCAAAACTCCGGACCGCAGGTGTCTGCGGTTAATGCCGATTTGTGCTCCCTAGAGTAACCTCGAAACTAGCTGAGAGAAAGGCAAAACGAAGGACGCGCATGGCGTGGTGGTGAACGCGTTAGCACATCTGCGGTTTGGAGTTTTGCATATATTTCAGCATTGCTATGCCAATTCGTGGTTTACCGGATAAGTAACTAACCTGTTTATCGATTTTTAGTCCACCCATTGTATAGTGAATAGCAGGTGTTATAATCGCTATGTAGACCGGCTCATTGGGATCGATTGCAACAGGGAATACTGTTTTTCCAAACGAATCCTATAAACACAAAAGTGATTACTCAAATAACAATTTAAATAAAAATACCGGTAATCGTAGTACTAGTAAGATGAGTTAACTCGCAATGAATACGTTATTTCCCTTCTTTTACCTTCTCTTTGGTTGCACCTGAATCGCCTTTGACGTACTTGTTGTATTCTAGCAAAGTGTTTTTTAAGGTATCAAAAGGAATGCCGCCTAGTTCAGCGAATTCTTTTGCTGTGTTGTACTTCTGGAATAGAAGAGATATCAAAACACCATTTTATAATCGAAACAGCTGATTGAAAGTTGCAGTCACCATAACGAATTTTCATTTGATACGACTTCAACGATTCTTCGTAAGAACTTACAGTGAACAATTTCTTAAAATTTGCATAAAAATTGAACGCAGGTCGTCCGAATGAATCAGCGGCTTCTTCGTTCAAGACCATGAATGCAGCGGGCAAGCCTGCTGACCCTCCCTGAAAAAAATAAATGAACAAAAAAAACATACTCAGTGGAACAAAAAAAAAAGATTAAGACGCGGTGAAGAATTCTTCCTTTAACAAAGTGAGGAACAATACCACAGCAAGTAGTTGTACACATCAAAGATGAATGGAAAACCTGCCTGGAAGGTCTCAATGGGTTTGCACTCTCTCAATATCCTTTCGGTGAGGTAATCTCGTCTGCCAAGTTCATTAGCAAAACGAACACCATTCGAATTAATCTAGAACTTCAAAGAAAGCAACTCAGCGAAACTAACAATCTTTGCAAAGGAGGAAAAAGAGTGATAATGCGACACGAAATCCAAAACTCTGACATCACTTCCAAAGATATTTTGACATTTTTAATTTCTTTAACGAAGTATGATAAAGTTAAAAATTTTAGAAAAAAAATCTATCAGGTGAATAAGAGGATTCATACATGTACTCTCGGTAAGCACAAGATTCAGCAGACGTCACCAAATTGTTCACCTAGAAAGAGTTGTCAACACGGGCCGAGAATTAGCGTTCAAAACAGTAACCGTAAATGCACTGGTCGGATGCCACACATTGCGTTTAACATAAATAAAAAAGGATTAAAGTCCCGGCGTTGATAAAACCCTCAGAGACGCGCCATGCATTCGACTTCACTATGCATCGTTAAAGGTGAACGAATGCATATGTTGCCTTTACATTGACTCGTGGTGGCCTACCGATGTATCGAGTCAATGTTCTCTCCTTCTAGACAAGCCTGGTACCAATCTGCCAACCCCGGAGGATGGAGGGCTTAGTGAGGTTAGGGCGTGGGAATCGATCCCATGTGTATTGTTGGGCATCTACGAACACTGCACTAGTCGGACCTCCTGAGTGTAACATAATAACGACATATTTTGATGAGAAACTACATGAAGGACTTACTAGACCATACCAATAGACAAACATGATACCTTAGTGTTTTGTTGTGAGACAGTAACCAAGCTATGCGTGACATTTCTTTTTCAAAAAAATAGATTGAACTCACAAGAATAGCACCTTTACCACGAAGCGCTTCAGCAGCAAGGAATTTCGTGCCGGCTGATGGATCAGCAGGATCAACAAATGCTGTTGGATGGATCTGGACACGATCCATACCAACAACCTTAAAAGTACAAATTGGTCAGGCATCAGATACTACGGAACGTTCTCACGTACTTGAGCACCCATTGCACGAGCCATCTTTACACCATCTCCTCTGGCAAAAGCACCATTTGTGGTTGGGAAACGCAGCTAAATTAGAATTTAATTTGACTCCACATAGGAAACTTCGTTAGTTTCATTATGAATCTTTACCATACATTATTAATGAATTCTGCAAAACACACCTTGTCGCTGGCAAATTCGTGCAGTAAACTGGCATCTTCATTTCTATCAGCGCTAAAGCCTCCAGTGGTCAATATCACAGCCTTCCCATTGATTTCCTCTTTGATTTAAGAAATTATTTTTGACTCAAACAGACATTAAAGTTGATAGAAACAAGAGCTTTTCGAAGATGTAAAAGATAATTTTCTTTTTTCACATAAAGATGAATCATTTCCTGAAATATATCGGAAGTGTGAAAGACATACTTCTTTTTCCATCTTCTACCACATTCACACCATTCACATAAGCATTCCATGACGTGAGCCCGACTACACGAGTGTTCGTCATAACAGTGACGTCATCAGGTCTAGACTTTGTTACCTCAGTTATACGCTGCTTTAAGGCGTTTATGATGCCCATCCCAACCGGAGTCGGTCGCCCCTCTTTCGGAGATGGAATCCTGACATAGGCAAAAATAAATGTACGGTGAAACTACGATGAAGCGCCTCAAAAACTATACAATTAGAGAAAAAATAAGGGCGCGATGGCACTGGCAGGCAGAGAACTAGGTGAGACAGAGGAGAAACGAAGACCCCGTATAGTTTGGTGGTGAACGCGTCCACTCTTAGAAAGGGTAAAAGCGCGTTCGATACCCACAGCAGACACCTGCAGTCCGGAATTTTGCAAATATGTCAGCATCATTGTTATTAAGTGCGCAAATTTCCTTCCTGATTCTTTGATTTTCTGACGATTCGGAAACGCTCCAACTGTCAATAGAGTTAAAACTAAGCAAATAAGAAAGATAAGGACCGTCCTCTTCAAAAGAAAACATCCGCATGAACGGGATTAACAATATCTAAGATCTCATTTCGATCTAGTTCATTCAGGAACCGAACATAGCAATGATTGACTTTGGGATATTCGTCAATTTGGTAAACTCGGTTAGAAACATTGGGAACCAAGCCATTAAAAAAAGAAGAAGAAAAATACAATGAACTGCACATACCAATGTGTTCGAGGCACACTGTGTCCACCACAAAGGTTTACATCGCTAAGATTAACGCCAAGACCCATTAAGAAGTCGATAGCCGCTAAGGATTGTTCGACCTGTACAAAATTTTTTTCTTTTTTCTGTTCAACACAAATGTTCTCACTACCTGAAGTTGTATGAAAAATCAAACATATTCATTCGTCTAAAGTAAAGCATACATTTTATATATTAAAAATGTCTTTCAAATATTTATACACATATACGCCCCCAAGTTTCTCAAGTCCGGAAGGATCGATCAACGCCTACTCCTTTATCCTCTATCGTTTCACGTTCACTTTAGATTGCGAAGACCTAAGAGGAAGTGGTGGTCAGTAGTTCCAAAAATGTAGACTTTATATGGAAGATAGCGCTTTCTTTAATCAAATCAATCTTCGGGTGAGCGAATACCGAGTAAATACAATCATCTATGCGATGAACCAGACTGAGAGTGTATCTAACGAAGCGCGATGACAACGGAATTCGTAACTATTAGTTTGTTCATGTTGAAAGAAGCGATCATCATCAAATGATCCAGTTAAACACGTATGAACAGAAATGGTCAACGTGATTAATGATCCAAGATATGAGCGACGTAGTAAGAGTAAAGCTATTTCGTAAAAGTGTAACAATGAAAGAAATCATGGACGCTGCGCACTGCACTCACTTTCCCAACTCCGTACTCTGCTTTAACGTATGTTTATAAGAACTTGATGATGAGATGTGGTGCATGTAAAAAAGAAGATAAAGCTCTCGGCGTTTATCAATCCCTGAGGGATGCGCCATGCACTCGACATCAAGCATCGATGGAAGTGATCCAATGCATATCTGGCCTTTACAATGATTCGTCGTGGCCTACCGATGCATCGAGCCAGTGCTGCTATCCAGAGAGGTTTGGTAGCAATATGTCGACACCAAAGGGATGGAAGGCTTAGTGAGCCGGAGGCGCGGGGACCGATCCGTGTGTGCTGCAAGGCGCCTCCGACCACTGCGCCACATGCGCGTGGTGCCTATACCAGCAACAACGTCCCTAACTTCGACGTACCGTCGAAAGTCACATCAATGAATAGCACCCTGTGAAAGAAAACTTGAACTTACAAGTATATCCACCAATGCCTCATCATTTTCACGATCACCAGCATTCATAGTGTCCATGTAAAAAATATCCCGAGAATCTTTGATTCCCATTTTTTCCTGGGTGGTGGTCCCACAGCCATTGATTCCTGAAATTCACTTGCTCTAACATTATCTGCAACCTAAGTTAACGTAATGAAAGCTCACCACTGCTGGCTTTAGCCGAATTTCCACCAAGATTTTTTTCGCTATCGATAATAATCACCTTCACGCGGTGGTCAAGCGCTTCTATTGCGGCCGACAGTCCAGCAAGACCGCCACCTACTATGATCACTGGTTCATCTGGAGAAGGAGCCTAAAGTATACGTAATGCCCCTCAATATCAGAAGTTCCTCAAACGGTAAGAAGTGAATTAAAAATGACAACAGAATCACCGTAGTCGCAAACGCGACAGAGGTATTTACGTTTCTTCATGTTTGTTCTTGATTTAGTTCACCAATATTTACAAACCACATCTCTGGTAACGACGGATACTTGTTAAACAATTCAACTTTGTAGACCTTTTTTTCTAGTGGAAACCATTGTACAGACTCTAGTTCGCTCTAGATATTATACATGGCTTTTAGAGCGAAGATCAATGGAGAAATTGGTCTTCTAGGCATAACGGTCCTCCACTCACCATAGTCCTCGGTTTTGTATCTCCCCAGTAATTCACGAACCATATATAGTACTACATGTAATCTAAGTGATATCAACTTTAATCTAAACTACTGTATGCGTTCCAAAATGACATAAAACATCTCCCATTTCTGACAACTAATGCGAACCACAGATCTCCCTCATGTGAGGGATCTCGAGCCGTCTACGCACGAGGCTATGTGGCGCGTCCCCAGGTGGCGGATAAGGGGTTAATCGCGGACCAAAAGCCACTTTTCCTTCCCTGAGACGAGGTGGATCCAGGGGATGGGCTCCCTGTTTCTGCTGCGCTGATTTGGCACATACTTTCTGTACTTACGAGGTATATTCATGCATTCGTGTGTGGGTGCGTTCTAGTTTATGCGGATTGTATTCTTGGAGTCAATTCGGCCAAAAGCCTGTAAACAAGTGACGGGGAAGTATATGGGAGACGGTTAGGAGCCGCCTCCAACAAATAAGCTCCATGTCCAATCTGGGAGTGACTGGCAAGTTACCTATGAGTATATTAAGCCTCTACGTTCTGAGTCCAGCAAGCTATACGTCGGTATCAAAAAGCTGAAAACAGTAAAAGAAACGGGCCTCATTCCTCTAACCCCGAGAGAGCCCCGATAGGACGCTGGCTAGGACGAGTACGGAAAAATTGCTAAAATCTTAGGGCCAACGTAAGCTGCCTGGATCGCAAAGAACTAAGGTAACGATCTGTACCTACAATGCACAGCATCGGGTCCTCGATGGAAAACTTAATTATGTAGGCAAGAAGGACGAGGTACGTCGCTAACAAACTACCTGAAACGGGAAGACGCCGTTCATTCAACGCCGTCTGTGATACCGGACAACTGCTCTTGTGAAAATGAAACAGCAGAAGAGTTGGCGGCATCAGAGTACTCGTCAACGCGAGTTTGAGCATGGACATCGATTCATTCGAACAACTAACAAGCCGGACCGAACGTTTACGATTGAAGAGACGTGGACCAATACCAGTTTGACAATTTTCGTCGCCTACGCGCCGACGTCAAGCTATGACGAAGACGAAGTCGAGGAGTTCTATATGGACTTAGAGTAGTTCTACAGAAAAGATCATACATTCTTCAGTGTCATCGCTGGAGATTACAATCTAATGCTGGACTCAGAAGAACATGACCCTCGGGCCCACAGATTAGAATGGTACAAGCAGGGTGAGCCGCTGAGTCTACCTTGACGACCAAGACTATTCATGGCGACTCGCAATTCAGGAAACCCCATTCCCAAAGATGGACGTGGGAGTCTCCCAATGGAGAGTACCATAAAGAAATAGACCACATTATAGTATATTGAAAGTTTTACCTAACCGATGTCGCTGTTGTTATAAAATTCTACACGGGATCGCAAGCCCGTACTATTGTTCAAGAAGAGTGACCTACACGATATCGGCAACTATCGCCCAATCTGCTTACTGTCTGTCGTCTACAAACTTTTCACTTGAGTTATCATAAACAGGATTGACAGAACACTAGATGAAGGACAGCCATGTGAGCAGGCAGGGTTTCGAAAAGGATTTATTAGTACGATGGACCACATCCACACGATAACAAGGCTCATTGAAGTATGGTCAGAGTACGAAAGACGGCCACGTCTCACTTTCATCGATTTACAGAAGGCCTTTGATTCAAGTGAGTTAGAAGCAGTCATGGAAGCCCTTGATAGATAAGAAGTCTCTACTCAGTACATAAAGATTCTTCGTGAGCTGTACAAAAAAATTTCACAACCAAGATATCACCACTCTACAACGATATTAACATTGACGTCAAAAGAGAAGTTAGGCAAGGCGATACCATCTCACCAAAATTATTTACCACCACCCTCCAGAACGTCATGCGAACATTGGAATGAGATAATATTGGAGTGAAAATCGATGGTCGGCAGTATCACCAGTAGTCCCGTTGACCGCCGAGTGACTCGAGCGGGT